TCCCCGTCCTTACTGGGTGCCAAATTATCCCGGGTACAGGTAAAGGTGTTTGGATGATTAGGCACCCCACCTTATTTTACCTGCTAATTAAACACCCGATTGCTAACCTAACCTAACCCCTTGTTGAACCATCAATAATCATAAGTTAAACTACAATACTTAAGTGAGTTTGGGTGTCAGATGAGGTTAAGTTTTCACTTCATTAAATTTATCTTGATTTAATAAATTAGAAGATAACTGTAGGCTAAAAATTACGTGATTTATGTAGTTAGTGATTTATTTATCCTAAAATATCAACAACAACAAATTTAAAAATCATTATATATATATATATAATGATTTCTCCCTATACCACACCTTGTTATCAAATATGAGAGACTGAGTGCTGGTTAGGTTAGGTTTTCTATATTCAATCATCTTTTCCTATATTTTAAAGCTTATTATTAAGTTAAAAGTGAGGTTAATTGACTGGTTAAGAGCTAGAAACGCAAGATAATAATAATAATAATAATAATAATAATAATAATACAGCAAGAATAATGATAATAATAATAACAACAATAGTAATAACAGATAATTTACAGGTAAATTACACAGAGAAAGTTCCTAATAACACAACAATTACCTTCACAACACCTTACTGTAATTAACGTTTAAAATTAGGTCATTCAAAATAAATGATATAAATTACAACACAAAGGTAAGAATAAAACAATGGCATATTATTCTTTTACAGGAAGTGTTTTTGATTGCTCTCTCTCTCTCTCTCTCTCTCTCTCTCTCTCTCTCTCTCTCTCTCTCTCTCACTCAATCTCTTTCTCTCACCCATTCTCCCACCATGTAACATACATACAATTACTATACCATTCTGTGTCAGTTCATATCGATAGCAGCTCTCTCATAGTTACAAGAACCTACAGTACACACACGGCACTGTATCAGCTACGTGACCTTGTCCATGACGTTATGGATGTTGATGAAGGTTGTGTATGGCGGAGTTCACGTCTTCACCTTGATCTCTGACATACATACTCTCTCATACACTCGTGTATACTTCTACATACTCATGCATACACTCATCCATATACCCATACACACCTATATAAACCACTCGCGAGCATAACATAAGAACATACGAATGGAGGAAACTGCAGCGGGCCTCTTGGCCCATACAGGACAGTCCCATTTACACCCAACCCCTTATCGCTCATATATCCGTCCAACCTATGTTTGAAACTACCCAGCGTATTCGAGTTAATGATGATGTTTGGTAACTTGTTCCACTCGTCCACTACTCTATTTCCAAACCAATGTTTACCTATTTCGCGCCTAAATCTAAATTTGTCTAATATAAAACCATTGTTACGAGTTCGCTCCTACATACCTATACATAAGAACATAAGGAGTCTGCAATAGGCCGGTTGGCCTGTGCATGGCAGCTCCTGTCGAGAGTTACTACCACTCTCTATCATCCATGAATCTATCTAGCCTCCTCTTAAAACTTTCCAGCGTTTCAGCACTTACTACAAAGTTGCTAAGCTTGTTCCACTCGTCCACCACCCTATTTGTGAACCAGTTTCTTCCTATCTCCCTCCTAAACCTAAACTTATCCAACTTAAATCCGTTGCTCCGAGTCCTGTCCTGCTCGGATATTATAAGAACTTTATCTATATCTCCTTTATTGATTCCTTTCACCCACTTAAATACTTCTATCATATCTCCCCGCACTCTTCGTCTTTCTAGGGAATGCAAGTTTAGTTTCTTTAACCTATCTTGATATGGAAGGTTTCTAAGTCCCGGAATCATTTTCGTCATTCTTCGCTGCACCGACTCCAGTGAATTGATATCCATTCTATAATAGGGGCACCAGAACTGAGCCGCACAATCGAGGTGCGGCCTGACTAGCGCAAGATATAGTTGCAATAAGACCTCTGCACTCTTATTACTTACATTTCTAGACATAAACCAAATACTCTGTTTGCCTTATTTCAAACATTAACGCACTGTTTTCTAGGTCGTAGGTCCGGGCTTACAAGTACCCCTAAGTCTCTTTCACAAGTCGACTTCTCTAGGTTGATGTTGTTAAGGCTGTAATCATTGACAGTGTTTGTTCTTCCAATATTAAGTACGCTGCACTTGCTGGTGTTGAATTTCAATTGTCATTTTTCTGACCACTCCTGCAGTTTATTTAAATTCTCCTGTAGTGCATTTGCATCCTGCCATGAATTAATCTGCCGCCCTATTTTGGTATCATCCGCAAACTTGCTTATATCACTGCTGATCCCAGTATCTAGATCGTTTATGTAGATTATGAACAAGAGTGGGCCCAGTACTGACCCATGGGGAACCCCACTGGTTACACAACCCCACTCAGATTTAACACCATCTACGCTGACCCTCTGTGTTCTATCGGTGAGCCATGATTTTATCCAATTCAAAACTTCCCCCTCGATACCATGAGCCTTAACTTTTCTCAGAAGCCACTGATGCGGTACTCTGTCAAACGCTTTGCCAAAGTCTTAGTAAATAACATCGTAATTTTCGTCATTATCTACTACCTCGAAGACTTTCCTAAAAAACGTCAGCAGATTTGTTAGACAAGATTTTCCCTTTTTAAACCCATGTTGAGAGTCGTAGATTAATTTGCTTTTCTCTAAATGAGATCGGATGCTATCTGCTATAATTGATTCAAGAAATTTCCCCACTACTGACGTCAAACTGATCGGCCGGTAATTTGACGCTGATGCTCTGTCTCCCTTCTTGAATATGGGTACTACATTTGCCTGTTTCCACAAGTCTGGCACAACTCCCGTGTCTAATGATACAGATACACACACAACAGTACGAACATATTATATACGTACATATGCACCTGTACACACACACACACACACACACACAACTGTACGTAAAGACACGCAAACACACACAGCTGTACGTAAAGACACAAACCTGTACGTAAAGATACACAAACACATGTACGTAAAGATAAACAACCACCTGTACGTAAAGATACACACACAACTGTACGTACACATAAGATAAACACATATACAACGTCAACAATGATCACTTGGTTACGTCATCTCAGCGTTTGATTGTCCGACCGTCTCTCGCCAAATATTTCCTACCATAAAAATGCCCCCCCCCAGACAGAGAGAGAGAGAGAGAGAGAGAGAGAGAGAGAGAGAGAGAGAGAGAGAGAGAGAGAGTTAAATAAAATACACAAAAATAAACTATAGAGAAAACGGCCTTAATCTTCTGATGGAAATACCTGTGGCAATGACGTCAATCTGAAGCTCACCTGACTTGGCTTCCCTTAGTTACCTCGCCTGCCTCACCTTGTTCATGGCTACTTCAAACAACAACAACCACACCAGCCACAGATAACAATAGTAATAGCAGTAACACAGTATTCCTCACACATATGCTTCAGGTGAGGGGAGTAATCGCTATATATGTCAAGAATTTTCATTTAATCGTGTCCTTAACGTGTTTTGATGGAGACATGGGATTGTTTTTCTTCGGTCCGTTCGTAAGTCCAACCTCACATGAAATCATTAATCAGTATTCTGTTTATTGTGGAGCGGAGGAATACTTGCGTTCCAATGGCGCCAAACACGTGTCTATGTTCCCAAGTGACAAGAGACGACAGTGTAAATTAAACGCCACAACATAATGGCATTCAAAACACGTACTGAATGGCGCAATGAAGGGAGCACAATGGATGTGGTACACCATATAATAATTGCAATGCGCCAGCACGAGCGATCAACATCGCCAGGCATTTCTCTTTGTCTAGTAATGCTAACGTTACTGTCTCTATTACCCACGATGAGGTAATATGAATATTTCTGTAAAGTTCAGGTAAGGTTGAATAAGATTAGGTTCTATATGGCAAAATCTTTCAAGTTTAAGTTAAGTTACGCTTCATAAAGTTAGATTTACTTTAGTTTTATCCTCTTCACCACTGATCGGCTCGTTAGCCGCTTGGGCGATCGGGAAGGATCAGTTAATTAAATTTGGTATAAAAAGTTTCAAGTTAGTGTTGATAATGTTAAGTCAGGTTTGTTTACTTTTTATCGTCTTCTTTTTATAATAAAAAAATAGCTCAGTGGTCGTGTTCACGGCAGCATTTCAGCATGGTACACTTGTCTCCAGGACGGGTTGTGTATCCACGGGCTGCCGGCGGTGACCCTACAGGTGTGAGCAGCGGCGCCACACAGGAACACACGGTACAAAACACGTGATGTTGATAAGCAATGAACGAGAAGAGAGAGAGTTGTGGGTAGGTGATAACGCATTTAATATTTCAGTTAACACGATGTTTTTTGTACCTTTAGCGGCGATAACACGAAATAAAAATAAACATTAAGAAAGTTTGTCGATATTGCTTTCTATCTGTTACTTTAACTCTTCTCTCACTGCTATGTAACGTGGGGTTCAGAAATTTTAAAGAGAAAGAGAGATTGATGCAAACGTAAGGACTGCGACATAACACACACACACAGATCGGCAAATTTCCCACTGTTACACCACTGTATACAGCTCATGCGCTGCAAAATACGAAATTCTGTGAAAAAAACTATTATATAATCTCCACTACTGACCCTTCAGGCTATTCTGGCTACACCCCTGTCCCGCTGACCTCTGTAGAACTTGGTAACACTGACATAACCAACACCAGCCTCTGACACCTTCCACTGACCAACTGGTATAACTTATACCGTATAAGGACCTGACCTATCGTGAGCTCGTCAGTTCAAGTCAACTCAGCGCTCCGTGAAAATTAATAAATTGCCAACAGCTTGTTTTAACGTCTAATTATGAAAAAAAAACAATCGGGTATTTAATTCAACTCTTAACTAAATCTAGTAAATTAGAATCTGTAAAACTGAGATATTTCTAATAAATAACTTTGATAACGTCTATTACACAAACTCACACAACAACAGCCAGTGAGAATGATTATAGTAGTAGCAACAGCCATTAACACTTACTCAAAGCTCACACACTTAAGAGTGGTGAAGGAGAACAGTGGCGGGTGCGGGAGCAACAGCCTACCACTCACCACAAGAGTGCAACACACACTGACGGATTCAAGACTGTACACCGACCGGTCACACCAACCCACCCGGCCCACACACTCACACACACACCCCACGACCTTCCTTCATCCTCCTCCTCCTCAGCTGTTGACGCCTCGGACACAGTTGCCAAGTGACGACATAATACACATAACCAACGATTTATTTTACAGAACATCACCAGCAGCATCAAACTTCATATAGACTCTACTCTCTTTAACATATTCCTTCCCAAGAGTCCAGAATAAAAAAAATTACAATATTACCTGGAATAATTCGGATTAGGTCCATATTGCAACACCTACTTATCCTAGTGCTATACTTCTACCATGTTGCAATGTTCCCTCAAGATGCAATGGTTCATATACACAACAGGCTTCAAGGAAACTTTTTTTTTCTGTGGATTAGATAAGTAAAATTATCCTGTAAAAAGGCAGTTCAAAAGTTTACTGAATTTAAAAGAAAAGGCATTATAAATATTTGCTCTAAGATAATCATAGTTTTAAGGTCTATTAGAAAGAAGCCCTCATCCTTATGAGTTGGTTAGGCTGAGTTAGGGGGCCTAGTAAGACTGGGGCCTATTAAGACTGGGGCCTATTAAGACTGGGGCCTATTAAGACTGGGGCCTATTAAGACTGGGGCCTATTAAGACTGAGGCCTATTAAGACTGGGGCCTATTAAGACTGGGGCCTATTAGAATTGGGGTCTACCAGGATTAGTTTCGTAACAGCTGAAGATAAACACCGCTAGTTTATTTTACCTGATGATTAAACTAATGCTATCTGGGGATTGGGTTAGGTTAACATTTGGGTAATTAATTTTTAGGTGCAATAAGCTGGGTGTCTAATCTTTATGTTATCCCTAGCTTTCATTAAGGCCTTGTTCCATTATTACTAGGCTTCATTAAGAAATAGGCTCCCTCAAGTAATAGGCTCCCTCAAGTAATAGACTCCATTTACAACTAGGATCCATTTAAGATGAGGCTCCATTAAGGATTAGACACCATTACTGTAATTACCGTAAAAAAATAAGAGGAAAACAATAACACGAGACATTTGTTTGGAGCGGTTATGACACGAATCACAAGATATGAAAAGAAAAACGGAAGAAGAAATGTCTGAACACTTATTTATTACAAGAACAGAGAGAGAGACATTACGGAAATACTTAAAACAAAGAATAATAATTTTTGAGTGCTTCCTTCCTCTTCCGTGCAACCATAGAAAGAAAACGGGACTATTAATTCCTAAACTATGGTAAAATATACGCCCTCTCTCTCTCTCAAAAGGACGTTGACACTATACTAGGAAAATACACTAGGGTACATTACTTACACAAGGCATTGATGAAGATGAACTCCCTTAAACATTCCCAGAAGATGCTAGCGTAGAACACACGCACACAAGAACCTACTTCACCACACTAAAACAATTTGCTCAGTGAACCAATTCCCTGAACTTTCTTACGTAAATAGAGATGAAGAAAGATTATACAAGTTATCTTAATGAGTAAAATTAGGTTATGTTAGCTTATACATTCGTGGATATATTTCTATGTTAAATTATTGAAATATATCTAAATACCACAAGGGGAAAAAATCTATTGAAGAAATGGAACTCGAAAGGGAATAAATAATATTTGAATTGTGTGATTTTTTTTTTAATTTTGAGATGGTTAGTAATAGGGTTAGCTGTATGACCTATGATTTATGTGGGTTGTGTTGATGTGGGTTGTGTTGATGTGGTTTGTGTTGATGTGGGTTGTGTTGATGTGGGTTGTGTTGATGTGGGTTGTGTTGATGTGGGTTGTGTTGACGTGGTTTGTGTTGATGCGGGTTGTGTTGACGCGGGTTGTGTTGATGTGGGTTGTGTTGACGCGGGTTGGTGACGCGGGTTGTGTGTTGATGTGGGTTGTCATTGACGCGGGTTGGCGCGGGTTGTGCGACGTGGAGTTTGTGTTGACGTGGTGAGTATTGATGTGGGTTACGTTGACGCAGGTTGTGTAGACGCAGGTTGTGTTGACGCAGGTTATGTTGACGCGGGTTGTGTTGACGCGGGTTGTGTGACGTGGGTTGTGTTGACGTGGGTAGTGTTGATGTAGGTTACGTTGACGTGGGTTATTGTAGACGCGGGTTGTGTTGACGCGGGTTATGTTGACGTGGGTTGTGTTGACGTGGGTTGTGTGACGTGGGTTCGTGTTGACGTGGGTAGTGTTGATGTGGGTTATGTTGACGTGGATTGTGTTGACGTGGGTTGTTTTTGACGTGGGTTGTGTTGACGTGGGTCGTAATGCGATGTGGGTTGCCAATGGCTTGGTAGTGCTCCTAGACCCACGCTAGAAGTGAAAGTGGACAGAGATCTATTTCATAGGTTACTTTTGCTGGAGACAGACCCCACACACACACACACACACACACACACACACACACACACACACACACAAACACTATAACCTGCCTAGGGAGAGTCCATGACACGTGTCTAGGGGAGGACCTCACATTCCCAGATCTCTCTCCACCCTCATTATAAAGAGATGTTTTTTCCTTCCTCATACAACGCCATTACCATCTTGATGAAAATCCCTTGAGGGTTGAATTCCTTCTTTACCCACCTCCCTCACCCCTTCACCTCACCCCACCCTCTCACCCTCACCCCACCCCTCCCCACCCTCACCCACCCCTCTCACCCCTCCACCCACCCCTCCACCCCTACCCACCCCCTCACCCCACCCCTCTCACCCTCACCCACCTCCCACCCACCCCTCCCACCCCTCACCCCACCCCTCTCACCCCTCACCCACCCACTCACCCTCACCCCACCCCTCCACCCACCCCTCACCCCTCACCCACCCCTCCCCACCCCTCACCCTCCTCCCTCTCCCTCTCCCACTCACCTCCCAATGGACAACACGTTCTTGTATATTAAATTCTCCTCATAACTGGAGCTGATTGATTGACGTAAGTTAAAGCACCGAAATAGTGTTCCAAAAGAGTTCCAATATTATACCGCGACTCTTCCTTGTCGTTGGCTCGTTGGTAATGATCAAATTAATAACAAAATCCGTAATGATCAAATAATAGAAAAAATTGAAAATAAAGAAAATAAATGATTAATAATACTAACAACAACAATAACAAATAAATGAATCAACAAATCCAGTAGAGTATACAGGAAACAAGCACTATGACACGTGCAGTAACCTACCGGATAAAGCAAACAGGAAATACATAAAAAAAAACTCACAACTACAATGATGTCAATTAAAAAAAAAAAGGTTATGACCCCATTCACTCGTTCATTACTACTTAAGATTATAAGTGTAGTGGTAAGAAGAATGACATACGAATTACTTAATATTATTTATACTTTTAACATGTGGTCATTTATGCGAGAGTTCAAGAAGAAGATATCTTCTTCCGCCCAGTGTTTGTCTCGTCTCTTGAGGATTAATAATTTTTTTTATGCTTTCTCTTTCTTTCTCTGTTACAAAACACGACATGACCACCTCAGACACAGACACACACACACACACACACACGCACAGTGGGTGACCGCCGCATCTCTTAGACAAAACAGCGTCTATATTTGGGTCTCGACACTATACTTGGTGCGGTGTTGACACGTGAGGAGAGAGAGAGAGAGAGAGTGTGTGTGTGTGTGTAGGAACATGAGTCAGGTAAAGGCAGGTTTTTGTTTTGTTTTTTTGTTTTTTACGGGAGAAAACCCACCCGTGCACAAGTCATCGACCCACAACGGGGCCTAAGGGGCGAAAAAATAAGAATAGCAAGAATTACAAAATAGAAAAAGGTTAAATTAATGTACACCACGAAGATGCCAGGTGACGGCGACACGCTCAGAGTAACCTTAACCTAAAATGAGGTGCTATGTAGTGTGTGGTGATGAGAACTTACACAAGATGATCGTGTGTGGTATTCTGAAACCACAGAGAGGGTTAACACTGTCTTACCCCCCCCACCACCCGCCACCACCACCACAACAACAACCACTATTACCAAAGCAATAACTACTACCATCATCACCAAAACAACAACAACCACTACCACCACAGCAACCACCACCACCACCACCACCACCACCACTACCACAACCAGAACAACCTACCAACAACACTTGCCACCACTACAACCAGAACATACCACCACCACCACCACCACCACCACCACCACCACCACCACCACCACTACTACAACCAGAACAACCACCACCACCACCACCACCACAACCAGAACAACCACCACCACCACCACCACCACCACAACCAAAACAACCACCACCACCTTGAGATAATTAATAGTATGTATGGCCAGGGGAAGATGAGAGACCAAGGGAACTTAACACTGGCTAACCTCATAACACCATTCTCTGATGTACACCCAAGTACTCCACGTATCTATCTATCTATTTATCTATCTATCTATCTATCTATCTATCTATCTATCTATCTATCTATCTATCTATCTGTCTGTCTGTCTGTCTGTAGATATATAACAGTAACCACAGTATAATTGAATAGACAGACACACAGACAGACAGACCTCAGGTGTATTAAACTAACACTCATTAACCTGGATAATACTCATCAGGAAACAAGTCACACAATAGCAACACCTTGATTAACATAAATATATTACCCTATGTCAAGGATATGCCAGCCAACAGCGATGTAGCCAAGGTGACGTTTTAGGAAAAGAAAGCCATTTTCTCCTACATTCTGGGATTTCCCTCCTTGTGAGTCCAGCTGGTTCTGTGTGTGAGAGAGAGAGAGAGAGAGAGAGAAGAAGAGAAGGAAACGAATATCGACATCTAAACACAGTAATTATACAAGACCACAAACCTCACAGTGTCATACATTACCTTCAAATACAAAAAAGTATACAACACACACACACACACACACACACACACACACACACAAACACACATGAAGAAACAAACAAACATTATGTTATTTTAGCAGCGTCACCTTCCTCCCCCCCCTCTCTCTCTCATACAAGGCCACTTTTCTCATAAACTAAATACATCTTC